AACCTAAATTAATTAAATGCCTGAATTTATGTTAAGCCACATTAAACTTTTGCATGACTAGTTTTATTCAGAATTAATGTATCCTTTGATTCCGAGTTCAATTACACTGAAGAGTTTAACGGGAGGTAACTAATGTGTTTCAAAACTAACTTCAGATTCATCTTCCTGAAGGTGATTGGGCAGATAAAACCTGGAATACAGAAGTTTTGGAGGAATATTGCCAGTGGGCTACCAAAAAGGACACTTTCATCCAACTTAGGAAGGTTTTCCATTGCCGTTTTTCACTTGTTTTTGTGAAGAATGTGTCCTGGTGAAGGCTCACAGGCTGCATGGGCGGCTGCGTCGGCTCCTCCGCCGTGTTACGGCTGCAGGTGCGGGCGCATGAGGAGATGGCAATCGCCTGGGCATGAATCACTGCCCAAATAGCTGGTCCTCAGGTCTTCTAAGGAAAAGGCAATGACAAGCCCTGGCAGAATTTCAGCTGACCTGCTTAGAAACAGTCTGATCATGTTGTTTCACGGGAAAAAAATGGCTTCAGTCTGCAATTAGGCATGCCTGTGATTTGTAATGAAGAATTTAATGGTGCCTCTCCCAGAGGAGAAGAGGAGGTGAGAGGAGCAGATAGCGCAGTAATTTGTAAGAGATTGGAAAAAAAAATCCCTGTTCAGTGCAAACTAGCTAATGCAGAGTAGGATTTGCCAGCTACACAGTATTTGCTTCACAACACACCTACTTGGGCACATCACTGCTATTAAGTAATCTGTGCACCTGGATGCAGAGGTGAACGTGCTTGACTTTTCCTCCTCTGACTTTATTTTGACCCAGCACTAGATCTACACAACGGTGCAGGTATTATATGGGCAGCACAACTAGAAAGCTCCTTGTGATTAGCAGTGGTGTGGCCAAGAAGAAATCAGGCACATTTTTCTTTGTCTGCCTCTTCTGAGCTTATGTTTTATTCAACTACAGCCTCAACCTGGTGTTTCTCTGCAGTCCAGCCTTTCACATCACCTCCTGCCTTCAGGAACCAGGCTAGCAGCCAATTCGTCTTTCAGCATGTTCACACCTCCACAACTGCCATACGTGGAAGAAACTTCCACTGCTCCAAAGCAAACAAGGGAAGGGAGTGAACTTACCTTTTTGCCTAAAACCAGAAAGCAGCTGCTTCTGAGCAGGATCTTAACCCCCTACATCTCTTGCTTTCCACCTCAGGTCAGAAAGAGTTTGTGCGACCTCAGGGTGAGCACGTGCTACAGTTCCCTGCAGGCAGTTGATGGATCGATGACGGTTCTAACTAGGACATCCACTTTTCTTCCTCTAACTGACCCTAAAACACAGCATATGCTCTCTCTTGCAAAAGGGAGAAATCACCGAGCAACCTGCAAATGATGCAGCTTAGGTTCTCACCTGACACTGTGACAAAATGCAACACGGCAGTGTTCAAGAAATGTGCAGATGAGGCACTTAGGGAACATGATTTAGCAGGCATGATGGTGGTGAGTTTACGGTTGGACTTGATGATCTTGAAAGTCTTTTCCACCCATAATGATTCAATGATTCTATGATTTTGCACCATGTCCAGCTGCATGCAAGCAGCATGCCGTCCACTGCAATCCTTGTGCATCAGGGCATCATCTGGGTACAGGCTGGAGACCACGAGAGCTCCCCTCCTGCTGCACTACTGAACACAGGTGCCTAACAGCACCCTCGCTCTTCTCTGAGGTATCCTCACAAGCCTGAGTTAAGCAAGGTGAGTCCAGACTACTCACTGATTTCACCAGGATGAGTTACAGTCTAAAATTAGGCCCATGCTAAATACTTTGCTAAGACGGGGCTGAAGGAATCTGTCAGGCTGAGGCTCCCAGATTAACTGCAGATTTACTCTCTCCTGATACTATGTTCAGCCATAAACTCTTTCCTCGCTGTGTCCCCACCCCATCCAAGTCTCTGGGGAATGTTGCCATGGATTTCCACTGGAAACAAAAGAATCCATATTGGAAGAACCCTGTTAAGGTTGCTAGGCGTAAATATTGACTTAACGGCTCTTCCGTCTTTTTTCTTTTTTAAGAACAGATTTGTTGGCCATGGCTGGAAAAAAATAAAATGATCGAGTGTGCATGATTCACTCTGGCACTCACACAAACATGCAGATCAGTTGGCTGGCAGCTAGCTCCTCTGTTAGCAGAACATCGCTTCTAAAATGTGTCATTTTGTTTTGGCAGCCGCAATGTCCAACCCCCAGAGAGAAAGAATCCAAGAGATTAAGTCTTCTACTTTCCATGTATTTCCCGTGGGGGCCGCTGACCTTCCCCAATACAGAATATTTGCTTAATACTTCCAAAAGCTTTTTGCTGATGTCTGAGAGATGCAGACAATCGTCAAGATGCTGCAGGGATTTTGTACTAAAAGTCCAGCCCAGAAGCTTCCCTTCGTGCTAAGGAAGACTCCTGGGTCTGCAGACATGAGAAATGGCTGCAAAAGGAACTGCAGGCACAACTTCTTATTTAAAGGTCTCCAACCATTTCACAGAAGTGAACACTGATTTGTGCTAACTACAGCTGGGTAAATTAAGACACAGGATACTTTAGGTCACACAGGGAATTCAACAGCAGAAGTGAGAAGGGATCTAAGAGTTTTGGTCATTTAATTCATGCTTTCACCACAGGTTGTATTTTCCATGACACTCTACGCACAGACATTTTATCCTAAACTTAAAAAAAGTTATTTTAAATGCTGCTTCAAAACATATAATCCAAACTCTTCTCTATATTAATTCTGCCAGATCTGGAGGATTTAGCTGTACTAACATGGGGACAAATCTCCTCTACAACAGCAGAGGTGCAAAGCATGTGAGATACTTGCATGCATCAGCTCTGGTCAGCACAATCTCTGACTGCCACTAAAAACAGGGGGACAAGCAGCTTGCCAGAGAGCTGGCAAAGCAGCAGTGAGTATTCATGACTCCCTGACAGACATCTGTTTGACAGACAACCAGGGGAACTCGGGAACTGTTGCATTTCACAGCACTCTCCAGATATCTGGTAAACATCTCATCAGGAGAAAGACCATGACTGGATGTAGGAGAGAAAGGGCCAGTATCAGACGTGAACCTTCTCGTAAGAGGACACAAGGAGCTTGCTTCTATTGCAGCTGAACAGGGAGTTTTTAGAGACTTTTATCCCTATGGGTTTGAGCGTTCTCCAAAATTATAATGCAAGAACGGATAGGGGGACCAGGATCTGCGCACGTGCGTGTCTGTATTTGCTCTGCGCCCGTGCCCTGTGCCCTCCTCTCACAGACCGGTGACAAATTCTTACTGCCAGGCATCCTTTGTGCATGTCCTCTTGGCTGGCTGGGTGCGTGCCTAGTGGAGGAGACCACTCCATGGTCACTCAGGTCAGGCTGTGGCAACCTACCCGCTCCTTAGACCCACAGTGGCCAGCCCCACTCAGCACCAAGCTACCAAAACCAAAAGCAGGACACTTGGCTACCTTGGAGCTTAGCAACAGCAAAGACCACCTCCTTCAAACCTCCTTCTGTTGTTAGCAGGAAACTGATGGAACAGGGAGACAGATTGGCATCACCTCTCCTCAACTGTAAGCAGATCCAAGGTTCTTTTGTTATTTTGTAAGCGTTTCCTTAGCGGCACATGCAAATTCAATACTGTGACTGCTAGCAAAGATTTTTGAGAATAAATACAAAGACATCCAAGCTTTGTATTAGCAAGAGATGTAGAGGACACATCAGGAGATAAAAAAGGAAAAATCTCTCTTATGGTCCTTACTCACATCAGGCAAGAGACCAAGCAGATTTAATTGTACAAAAATAAGGAATTTTCCACCCACACGCTCTTCAGCCCTCACTGTTTGAATAGCACAGACAGGGCGCTGCCTCCTGTTTTCTCAGTAAACTGTTTGCAGAGAACAGAAATTCTTCACAATATACAAGCAACAAAAGACCTAAAGGATTTCTCTGCTCTCCTATGTTAGGGTCATGGCAATCCTAACTGCACGCAAAATTGCCAATCCCATGTCAGCATGCGAGTATCTCTGGGATGGTTCCACACAGACAGGGACTGTTCCAGACTGCCAAATACTGGATGCTGTTGCCTGGTTATGGCTTCATCAAAGGTTGAGCTTTACAACAGGTTTCTTGTAATATTAAACAGCAAGGCATATGCTGCTTAAATGCATGCAACATCCTTTCTTAAAAGGTATATCTTTCTCTTAACCTTCTGTTGATTTCCTCTCTGATGCAACTTAATCCTGCTCCTCTGCCCAAAGGATGTCTGTTTGGGAGTTAGCATTGGGTTTACATTATTCTCACCTGATACAGGTCCTGAAAAGGCACTTAGACCAGAGGCTTGTAGCCGTGTTGGAGCCCCTGCTGCTCTGTGAAAAAAAATCCTTCTGCCTACTGGGATGGCTGAGCTTGCTCTCAAACCTAGTCCTTTGCCTTAGGTTGTCTGAGCATTTAGTTCCCAGATATCTAGTCAGCTTTAAAGGTTCAGGATCAGGCCAGCTTTAAATATTTAGGATCAAGTCAGCTTTAACTGTTTAGGATCCATTTCGTCACATGGTGCTCAGATGATCAGCTTCTGAATGACCAAGAGCTGGGGCAAGAAGTCCCACTAAGAACAGAATGCACAATATAGCCTGCCATCAGCATGCGAAATAATATGTATTATGTCTAGTTATCTTAGGTTAAGTTGTGTATAGATTGCTTTAGGGCAGGTGGAAATAATAACCCTGACTTTGCACCCCTCAAAGGCAGTGACCCAACTGCAGCAATCATTAGTGGATGAGGTCACCCGACTGTATGAATAAAAAATGGAAAATGGAGCATTTCTCAAACCATTTTCAGCATCAGTTAAACTCAGGTGATCTGTCTGTCTGTGGTGGACTGAACAAGCTGTCAGTGACAGCTGCCACTCGAGGTTCCTGTTCTCTAAATGTAGGCATTTAACCGAAGCAAAGAAGAAAAGAAGATTTGATACTTACTTTCTCAGGACTGCAATTTCATTCTCTATGCTGCTCTCCTTTCCCTTCAGTGCCTTCTTGGGAATGCACTTGACTGCAAATAGCTTCCCACTTGCTCTCTCTTCAGCCAGAACAACTTCAGAGAATGCACCCCTGAGGGAAGAAAAGAAAAACCCCAGTTTTAAGTGATGTCATTTCTGCGGGAAAAGCATTAACTGAAAAGCAACCACAGCATCTAGTTCTGCTGCTGCTGTTAATGACAGCAATGGCACTTTTAGCATCTTTCATTGCCTTACAAACACATGCAGACATTCACATTCACACAAATATTACAGAGTTATCAAAAACAACAATTTCAACCAAGAGCCATACTGCAGCAGAGACACGAACATAGGTGGAAAATCAGAGGGTCCTATTTCTGCCTCTGCAGCTAATGTGAAGCCTAATTCCACCAATGGCACTTGTGCCCTTTCCAGAGGTTTTGCAGCCTTATGTCCCGAAATGCCACAAGTCCATGGTGTTTTCAGGACTAAGTCACCCAACTAGGGCCAAGAGCCTTCTGGGCTCCGCAGCCACCACAAGAGGTCAGGGCCTCCGCTGCCGTCCTCTCCGCAGGCAGCCCGGAGCACCCGGAGCAACCGGATTGCTCCGCAAAACAAACCGCCACGGGCAAGCACGAAAGCCCAGCAAGAGGATCAAAACGCAAGCCCGAACATCTGCCTCTGCAGCAGCCTCCCCACGGTTACCCCAGCAAGGGGAACACAAACAAGGGCTAGAGAAACCTCATCAGAGAAGCCGGGCGTTAATTGCCAGGAGTGGCCAGGGCCTCTCCCTCATTAGCTTACGCCGTAAGGGTCCATTATTCCTTGCATGCTCATTTCTTCCCAAGAAGCACATCCCAGCCCAGCGCTTGTCCAACAAGCTCAAAGCCCCCCAGGCAAAGGATCATAGTTTATTTATATGGAACATAAAAACATATGGGGCATTTTCCTTCCATTTTTCCCCCCCTTTTTCTTCCACTAGTACATTATTTTGTTTTTTCACATAGTGAAAACTCTGTTTTCACAGCTCAGGAGCAGGCTGAGCGAACACAACCGCGCTCGGGCCAGCTCTTCCCCTGTTAATATTTGATCACAACCTCATTAAGCTACCGTGAACTCTCTCTGCCTTTCATTCCTCGTGACCGCCGGTTATCTAGATGCTCGGGGATAAACAGCAGCTCTTTCCTTGCACAGCCTGGCTCTTCCTTTTTAATTCCTGCCATGGGGACAACACAAGTGGGTGCCTCTGACCTCATGTTTGGTTCCTGACTTGTGAAACAACCGCATGAATCATTAAGCCAAAGGATAAATGAATCAGGCAAAGGAAGAGGGTGCTGCTGGGGAAAGAAATAGCCTCTGTTTACACAGGGCTGCTCTCGTAGTTAGCAGTAATAGGGAAACAAGGGCAGGAAGTTAGGAAGAGATTAGAAGAGGCCGTCACAAAATGTTTTTGGCAGTTTGTCTACATGCAAAAGTAACCCTTTAAGCAGAGAGTAAGAAGTTAATCTGTGTTTTGTCTGGTTTGCAAAGAAAGGACAGTGGTCCAGGTCGCATTTAGACCACGTTAAGTAAAGGGACAGTCACTGCTTTGGGCTCTCCCTTTGTATATAACCCACATGGCTGGTCAGAGCAGCACGCACTCCAGCCCAGAGCCCACACAATTGGTCATGCAGTAAAAAAGAGTAAAATCGAGCAATCCAATGTGCTTTTAAAGACCTAATCTTTGCTTTCCTATTACCACATAGTCCTAGTTATTTGATTCTCCAAATGGTGTTTTCATCCTGACCCTTATATTTGGGCTAGCCAGTCTGCAACTGCAATAAAATCCTTTCATTGGGATGTCCGAAGGCTGCTCAGGGCTGACCAGCTTCAGCTGCAAGCCAGGGTGCTCCGAAACTCCCAGAGCAGCTTGCAGCTCCATTTCATGAACCCCTCCAGTCCCATCTGCTGCAGCTTTCCGCACTGGACTCTACTCCAGCTGTGTCTTGAACAATGTTTTTGCCTGTAGTTAAAGGCTGCGCAAAGCAGCATAATCGCACTGGTCGTTTACAGATCACACAGCTCTCCGAATGTTTATGACACTATAAAAACACAGAGAGCTTCCATTCTGATCTGGCTTTCATTGCTGTTCTCAGCAAAATAAATGAAATCCTTTCATATCCCTCTGTGTAATAACCCCAGCTGTGGGAAATGCCTCTATTCCAGCTGACTTCACAGCATTCCTGGATTAGCATCTCCCTACACTTAATAGAGCAGACATGGGGTTCAACAGTTGGGATCAGCCTTTGGCAATTAAACGTGCCTGAAATGCTTTGGAAATGGGGAGAGAGTGTTTTCAGAAGTGGCCAGCAATAGGACAAGAGGCAACATGAATTTGAGGAAAAGCTTCTTGATTTGAAAGTGCGGAGCACTGGAATGGGTTGCCCAGAGAGGTGGTGGAGTCGCCTTCCTTGGAGAACAATGAAAAAAAGCAAGGAGGCAAAGGCCAAAAGAAGAATAAGAGAAGGAAAGAGAGGTAGATGATGCAGACAGGGACCAAGAAGATAAACACAGACTGAGAGAACAGTGCAGGACAAGACAGAAATACTACTGAAAACCAAACAGCTAAAAGACAGCAAAGACACTGCTGCTGCTGCAGTGAGGAGACAGCCAGAAGTAACAGCTTATAGACACACAAGTCATACTGAGGAGAGAGCCAGAGTAACAGCTTATAGACACACAAGTCATTATCTTTACTTCAAATGCACACAGCTAAATTCACCTGCCCTTAATGATCCAATCCTGCTCTCACCTAAACCCTCTTGACTTCTTCACAAATAGATAAATAACCAAGAGAGAGTCAGAAAGGCAAGATGGCTCATTTCCTTGCTAGCAGTAATATATCCCATAACAATTTCTCTACCTCCTCAACAAAGTTCAGCAGAATGACCGAATAGTCAGGTTTCCTACAGGAGATTTCTCTCTCTAGTGAATTAATGTGCCATTTAAAATCAAGGTATTACTTTATCTTTAAGGTCTTCGGCACTTCCTAAAATTCTTAATTGAGAGTTAATAGACACTAATTCAGTGTACTAAGTGATATGAAATTGTTTGATCTCAGAAAATGTTGTATTATACACCATCAAAATGACACAATTTTTTGTCAAAGGGGAATAGTTTCTATTAAGCATCATCCTGTAATTTTATGATAAAAGAAAAAAAATGGTACAGGATATGTTTGACAAACAGAAGGCAGCATCACACACCTGCAACTGATAGGACTCTGGACTAACACCCCACCTCTCCTAGAGGGTACCATGTAGTCTTTATAATGATAATGATGTATTGCCCCCAAGACATGCCAGTTTTACCCCATATTCCAGTAGCTCCACAGCCATAACCCTAAGTCGGAACAAGATCCTGAAGCCACTTAATGAGTCTTTTCCTTATGGCACTACATTTCCCTTGAGCATTTTCTCATCCAAACTCTAAATTCCTGCAAAAATAAAAGTGAAGGATATTAGCAAACAGAGATGGTTTATACCATGTGAAATACTGAGGAGCATTCACTCTATGAGAATATCTGGGGGAGTTTTGTTCCCCTCCTCCCCAAAAAATATAGCCTAAAAATGATTTTCACACTCACGGACCAAGATTTTTCAAAAATAATGAGAAGTGAATCCATTTAAAAGACATATTTTTAAAAGGATTTGTGTGAGTGGAGTCTC